CACTTGATCTTAACTTATAAAAAAATAAATAAAAATAACCTTTTATTTTTTTAACAGTTTGCAAGTGGGCAGAATTCTCTAAATCCTGCAATCTGATTGGTTCTTGGAGAGGGTGGTTTTTAACAATCTTGCCCACTAACTCAGCTGGAATCATTCACATTGAACGTTTCTTGCTAGGTTTTTTTTTCCTGAAGTTTGTTGTCGATGATTGCATTTGGCTTACTGTGAATTCAAGTTTGAATAAACAACACAAACAACTTATGCAGCAGGCCCTGGTTGTTCAAACATTGGATAGCACAATCCATGGGATATATCACTATCCAGTGAAAAAGTATTACAGAAATCAATTACGCCATCTGCTTGATAGTGATTTATCCTGGTGGATAACGCTATCCAAAGTTTGAACAACCAGGCCCAGTTGGTTATTTTGTTTTTTTTTTAATTTTTTTTTTGTTGCTTTTGTTTCCTTAACCAACATCACATTCTCTTATTCGAATTCATCAACCTTCAATCGCAAACCTTAAAATTTGTATGTTATAAAAGCTCTTTTTTTTGAAAGCCTTTGTGCACCTTTGTCACAGATGTTCCATGGTAAAGCTTTCTTATTAAGGCTGCACCTGGTGTACCAATAAGAGATGATTCCAATGCACTAAATAAAATTCTGTTCAGTTCCTGGACATCATGTTGCTGAAATCCCTGGGAAAAGGAAATTGCACATTTTTACTTCAAAATTTGGTAACTAAAAGGACTACATTAATGTGATTGGCGAAGAGCAAAAATACACAACCTGGTACACACAAATAATATTTATAGTCATGCAGTGATAGATGTAATATACACCTCATTTCCTGCCCATCCAAAACTGTCAGTCAAATCAGTAGTGCCGATACTGTCTTGATTAAGAAGGAGAAGTTTAGCAAACAGCTTCTGCAGTTGAAGTGGTATCACCCTGGCCTGATAAAGGAAAATCATAACAATTAAATGTCAAATGCACAAACTTATCACACCTACCAAGAATACTAATTTAACTGTTCCACTTTAAAATACAGCAGTGTTCGAGTCCATAACTATTGGTACTTATTAAAAGATGTACAGGAAGATGCCTGCAACCAATAGTGTATGGACTATACTTACAGAACTAACAAAGATGTCAACCTCTAGCAGAAATCTGAAATTTAGAGACTTTCTCTATTCAATGGCAGTGCCACAAACCCACCCCTGGCACCTCCCCTAGCTCCCTCCCCCCCTCCCC